CTCTCTCTCTCTCTCTCTCTCTCTCTCTCTCTCTCTCTCTCTCTCTCTCTCTCTCTCTGTCTCTGTCTCTGTCTCTGTCTCTGTCTCTGTCTCTCTCTCTTTCTCAGCTCAACTAGGATACGTGTATCGTACACCCAGAAAGTTTTCTGAAATCGAACAAATTTTCTTTTAATTTTGACTTTACTCTAGCAAATGTTTTAGCAGAGATAAATAAAAATTTGGTAGATTCAAAGAAATATGATTTCAACGTATCTCATTTCTTTAACCTAACTAAATCTTTTTCTGAGTGCAGTTGAAGGAAACGTTCAACGTGTTCATCCACGCAGATCGCAGTGTGAACAATTCACCTTTCCGAAGACTCATTACGTACTTATCGCGAGAAAAATGTCTTCTTATTTGTGACTAAGAAAAGCATACTCGTTTTCCTCGTTCTACCCGTTTACGACAATTGTTTTAATTATCCAAGTCGAGGAGTGTTTGTTGCAGTACGGATAAAGGAGCGATTTATAACTGGAAAGATGTCATTCGCAAATTGCTTTTGGCATAAAAGGATGATAAGTTCCCTCGCAAATTAGCGGAATTCAGGGAAATCAGATAGGTCTGTTCATTTTTTCTAGGGATGATTATTAAACACCGCGCCTCTTGGCATCAAGTTATCATGAAATTTGCAATTTCTTATCTTGAATTATCTGGTGTCGCATTACGACTAGTCAGATATGTAACACCTTGTGGAAAATTAACTGGTGTCGTCGTCTTGCCGACAGGATCAATTTACAAGATGACGCTCCGAGTGTTTTACTGAATTCACGATTAACTGCTCCTTGACGACCGGTACGCGATTCATGATTGTTTAATTAAATATATTAAATACTCTAGTAAATTGAACGCGTGCGTATATCGTTATTCGTTTCTTGAAAGAAGTCGTAATTATTCGCGGCTGTGGTGATGAAAATAAAACCGGTAATTACCTCTGCGATGAGATAAGAGTCTAATCCTCCGACATACATACAATTTTAATGTCGATACAATTAATTAAATATTCAATTGTGCATTCTACATATTTATGCATTTTCCGATCTCCTACGTTCAGCGATATTTGTTTAAAATATGCTTGTAATTAATCCAAGCGTCGGATGTATCACCCTCTTGACAAGATACCCGTTCGCAAGGGGCACAAACGCAATTAATTATTGTATAAATTGACACGACGGGTCAGCCGGTGTTAATGAGCTAATTTCACGAAACGGACGACACGCTATTTTTGCGAAAGGGCGACTTATTTATTTAGCGCCTACAATTGCGGCCCTTTTGTGCCTCTTAGAAGTGACGTCTTCTCATTCCTCAGGAAACTCTTCCGTTTATAGATCCCGTTGCCATGTAGCAAGGTAATGTTTGCTCGAAGTTCGTGCAAGCGACATAACGAGCCAGTATGCGTCATTGATTACACTCTTGCTTCATTTGATAGCGCACTCGCAACGGCGCAGTTAATATTGAATGAAGACAGATTAAAGATATATAGTATGATATTCTGCATCGTTTATTCTTTCTTTCTCTCTCTCTCTCTCTCTCTCTCTCTCTCTCTTTATAATAGTCGAGGATGCGCTGCGCGGTTCTTTAATAATCACGACTGTCAGTTTTAATCAGCTTGATGAATCGTGTTATTTCAATTGCGGGAAACATTCGATTTTTACTTAGAACGTCTCTACCCCGCGGTATTTCGCCGCACCGCTTTAATCTCCCTGGCTGTCGCGTCAAATCAGATACGTTCGGAATTTTCCAGAATAATTCCCCGTTCGGAACGTGATCTCCCGCCGGTCGTGAAGATCTTCGGCTCGCGCGGGAAAATGTTCCGCGGCCACACATAAATTTCGTTCTCTGCAAGGATTGTTAATCCTGCTGATGCGGCGTGCACGTTCCGAGTCTTTCAGGCCGTCTGCCGGCTAGCGCGCCGTGATAAGGTACAATGGAGATACGGGCGTTTCCGCGAGACAATAGCGAGCGCTA